ACTTGAAAGGACAACCTCAGAAGCAGGGAAGCCTTTCCACAAGCAGCAGCTGTTCCTGCTGTTTGATGTGTACATAACTAGAAAATAGGATCTGAAAATGTACTCACCGACTCTGTGTTCTTTCCATGGGAGCGTATCTGATACCTGCCACAGGCTGCAACCATTCGTACTGCAGACCTGAGGCTTTGGTCTTGCAAATTCCTGTGTCGTGTTGCCACATCAGAAATATGGCATTAAAATAGTGTTACTTTGTCATGGTATGCCACGTGTACATCTCATTTGCTCACTTGCAAAGGTACCTTTATAGCACTGAAAGGATGATTATTTCTATAACTTGTGAAGTACTGCAGCTAGTAAACAGGAACAGAACAAGCATTTTGGTTTTCTATACAATGAAAAGCTTGAGCTTGATTATATTAAAAATGTAGAGGTCCTGCTGCATGTTTGGCTTGCATCCCAGCTGGTGGAAAGCGCAAAGAAGGGCTTTAGCTGCTTCAGTGTCAACTTGAAGTTCATTTTCTGTCTCCCAGCTTGATCAGCCGCTGAAGGTCATCTTATTTCAGTCATTCCTAAAGCATCCTGCATACACACAGAGTACATACACAGGGGTAAATGGGGTTTTCATTCACTGGGGAAATGATTTGTAGCTATTTATAAAGTAGTGTTGTAATTTATTATTTGAATTCTGTTGCCTAGATTGACAAAGTATCTGACAGTCAACTGGAACCAGCAGTTCCATTTTAATTCCACAGGGTAATAATTTTCTACTATTATAAAGCCTTACTCCAGTTATTATACGTATTAGTTGGTGGGGTTTTTACAGCACCACAACGAGAAACTTGCCAAGCAATAAATTCCATTGAAAGGTTTCTTTGTGTCTTTAGGAAAAGCTTACATGAGATACTTCCCTCCTTACATGTAATAAAAAGGAAATAATGAAGTACACAAGCACACAAGTAACCATTAACTTGTGCTATTGTGTATTTTAATGGTTTTATTATGGATAACTTTCCAAACTGTACAGACTCAAACGTGTGCCTTTGCATTTCTCTGAATCTATCCTTTTAAATTTACAGAAAACCTGATTCACACAGATTGTGGAATTAAATCATCACTCCAGCTGCTATGCTTCAAGTTTCCCAGACCTTTGTGAATCATTGTGTGGTTTGAACAGCCTGGTTGTTGTGACATAAATATTTTTGTAATTGATCAAATATGTTTAGGTTTGGTTGGTTTGTATTTGTAACTTTAAAAATGTCATTTTTAGAAGGATTTCTTTAATTTTTAGGAAATTAGATTAATCATGTTTTTAAGGCACGATTTCCTTTTAATGTCTCCAACTAATTGAAGCGCAGGAATTATTTTGATTTTTGTCTCAGCTATTAGAGCTTTGTTGGGCTTTGGATATGTTTTTTTCTAAGTCCTCCTTCAAAAAGCTCTAGAGTTTTTTTCTTGGCAGTTGTTAAGCTACCTGTCTCCTTGTTTAATATTCTAGGAATGAGTTCAGGCCACTTATGTCTGAGACTGAAAAAAAAAAACCCCAAAACTCTGATGCATCAGAGTAGGTAAGCAACAGTACAGACAGCCCAATGTGGCAGTGATCAGAAGCAAAGCCACGTGCGTAGGCTTAAAGCACAATCTGGAGCCTTTATGCATTTTAATTCCAGGAGAGGAATGATGAGTCAGTGCTGCCAGGGACTGCTTGGGCCGGGCAAGGCAGCCACAATTAACGGGTTTGCAGCTGGGACTGGGCGTCCTTGAGAGCTAGAGATCTTGAGGAACTGGTTATAAAAGAGGGGATCGTATAACCCCATGCACCTTGTTCTGTAGTGACTAACTGTAAAACTTCCTGAATGTCTAAGTTTCATTCGAATTTCTTGAGGATAGAAAGCTAAATTGGATACATAGGGACCTTCATGTACACTAACAAGGTGCAACCAGGCCCTGGAGAAGCAAGTAAAATGCATGGATATTGGCTTTGTGGTTAGCCCAGATGAGTCTCAGAGCGGTGCTGAACATGCTGCTGTGACGGCATGGCATCCAGGGTTTTTCCCGTGTTTGCAGAGGCTGCCATGGCTGAGGAGAGGCACAGTGGCACCAAGGTGCTCGATGCTCACACAGGAGCAGACCCCTGGGCTGCCGGATCCTGGGACTGGGGCACCAGGTGCCATGTTGGACCTGAGCTGTGTCCCATCTTTCTGGGCAGGTTGGTACAAGCCTTTCACTGTGACTGAGCGCTGGTTGTCCTCCTTCAGTGTCATTTTGTTGTTGCTTTTCTCTCTTTTCTCAGCTGCCACTCCAGCACTTTCCTTTGCAGGAGTTTCCCCTGCTGCCCTGTCTGCGTTTCAGTCCTGCTCCGCCTCTGTGCAAAGTGCCCAAGAGAGGCAGGGAGCCATCAGCCACAGGCTGTTGACTGGCCTCTGGGGATAACACCCTTGCAGAGGGGCAGGTCCCCCAGGAGCGCTGTCCGCAAGCGTGGGACACCCTCACCGTACCCTTCTGATTCTGTTCAGGATGTTTGCCAAAGCTAGAAACTGTCAAAACTTACAGCTGGCATTGCCTGGTAGGGCTGCAAAGGACACATAAATCCACTGAGCCGCTGGGGCACTGGAGACCTCTGAGTTTATGCTGCTACTGTGTTTTCCCCGGTACTTTGACTGCTGGGTTCACACGTTGCCACCAAATTGTGCTTTAAAATATATATATTCATTGTGGTTGTATAACTTTGTGACCGTAAGGGGAACCACAGTCCTGTGGACCCAGTAATGCCACTTCTGCAAGTGCTGCCAAAGAATCGCCCCATTCAGCTTGGGGGCTGCTCTGTGGATTCTGATTACGCAGCTGCAAAATGTGGTATTTTCTTAACGTGCCACCAAATTTAGCATTTGTTTTCCTGTGGAACTTGCTATTTTGCTGAAGCCAGGTGCTTGACATTTTTCTGTCAATCCTTTGGGGGCAGGGGAGGGGCAAGAAATCTTCCAGCAGCTGCTTCTTGTTTTAGGCTGTTCTCTGGGGAGCTGATTGGATTACAGGCCTAAAAACTGAAGAGCTGGGGCTTGGCACTGGCATACCTGGCATGAAGGAAGGTCCTTGACAGCACTTGGTAATGGGGAGAAGAGAGGAAAAAAGAAAAGGAAAAAAAAAAAAGTACTGTCCTCTGTTACGGACTGGTTTCAACACAGTGTGAGCTTTTCAGTGGTGCCCCATGGTAGCTTGGGTACGTTTGAGCTGTAAATGAAGGGGTATTTGCCAGACATTGATTGGTGGTCAATTTGGGCATCCTTTAGTGAATGGTGCTTGTGAAGATTTGCCTGGTGATGAACAACTTCTCAGGCATCAGTAGCATTCCAGGTGTGCACCCCTGGCTTGGGCACAGGCCAGCCTGCTTGGGCTGCCCCTGCCTGGCATGGCACCTCTGCTGCTGCAGACGTGGTGGTGGGGGAACGTCTTGGCATTGGTGTGGGCATGGTGTCCTTTTGCAGACTTCACTCTGGGATCTGCTGCAAAAATGTCCTTCAGCCTTTTCACAAGAGCTCTGGCCTGTGGCCAAGCCCAAGCCCTCTGGCATTGGGTGCAGGAGGCACAGCCAGTCACAGCTGGACACTGCCAAGGGCAGTTAGGACCTTTATTGTCATTTGTTTCGATTTATAGTACAAAAGCAAAGTTGATGCTAAGTATCTTCCCAGGGAGGTGGCACATCTTCATTTAACTGCCAGCCTCTCTTTTTCCTTTGTGAGGCTGCACCCACACCTGCAAGCCAGCAGGTTCCACATGCAGCAGCATTTCTTGAGGTTGGGGGTTGTGTATTAGACAGAACAAAGCCTTTTGGATAACCATGCATTGCTCCTAGGGTGCCTTATTAAGACCAACTAGCAATGGTTTGCAAATGAGAACAATATTTATATATATTTTTAGTTAGTTTTCCTTACTGTTGTCCCAGGCCATGGGACATTTTCAGGATCTCCCGTCTAACACGCTGGCATTGGCACACATTGGGAGTGCCCGTCCCCTTGCAGGATGCCTGGCTCTCCCAGGAATCACGATCAGGCTGGGAAATGCAGCCCAGTGGGGCCAAGGCCACAGTGGCAGGGAACCAAGCTGCTGCAGGTGACCTCTGTTCCTCTGGAAGCCACTGATGACAAGTGCTTTGGATGGAGGAAAGCACTCCGAAGGTGTCCTGCTCTTCTCTACTGCCTGTGCCTGAAATGGAGTTCAGAGTGGCTGCTGGGTCTTGTGAATGGAGAAATCAGGTGACCGACCCCACGCTCAGTGTTTCTGCGGTGTGAATGTGCCATTGATCTCACGGGGGATGAGGCTGTACACTTAGTTGTGGAGGCAAAAAGCCAACCACAGCTGCATTTAATTTTCCCCTACACTGCTGGGACAGCTGCATGTGCTGATGTACCCACCATGGCAGGGGCAGCAGGAAGGCTGGGAGATGGTGCTGGGCCGGCGGGCAGGCAGCACCAGGAAGCCAGCCCATGGTGCTGCCTCGTGCTGGAAGGCTTCTGGTCCTTTCACTGCAAGTCTGCAGGCCCCTTGGTTTTCTTCACGTACACTCGGGCTGCTTCATTTTCACACAGTTACTGAAATGTCACTGCTTTGTTGAAATCACTCGAGTATTTTAAGAATGTAATAACGAGGGTTTATCAGGCAGACCAATGATGTTAAGAAATGACAGTACACTTGTTTCCAGTTTTTAATGCTTTCTTGTAAAACTGAAAATATAAAACCAGCTGAGCAAATGAAGATCTTTATATACATGAGGTCTGTGATTAAAAAAATCCTTTTAGTTAAAAAAAAAAACAAAGAAAAAAAAAAGAAGAATTGACCAATGAGTTAAATGAAAACTGATTAAAGGGAACAACATTCTCAAACTGAAACATACTTTTCAGGAAAAAAGAACCCTCTTCTTTACAAGTTTATTATATAACTTACATTTACACTTTACTGAGAGAACTTACAAAACAAGCTGCTTGAAATGCTCCTCATTCCCTTAAAGCATGAATTTCAAAGTGCCACAGCAAAGGAACAGGTTCCAATATTATCTTATACAGACTATTCATGTATAAAATGGTTTGGTAAATGTGAGGTGTTTATTTAAATGAGCACATATAGGGATACAGGCTAAATAAAAGTACTTGAACAACACCTTTGTTATTACATACACAGTTATAGGTATAATAAAGGAAACAAGGTCAGCACTGCTCTTAGGTGTCTGTATAGATGGAAGGAATGTGATTCAAGCAGTGATCAAAGGCGCCGTTTTGGAAGAATCCATTTTCATCAGTTCCACTGGAGACCATGTCTTCAGATACACACTGTGCTTCAGAGATTGCATCATAGCCTGAAAGCATGACAAGTTGTATGGACATGATTTAGTACCACAGTACATATAAGGAAGGAAGCATAGTTTGAGGCCTGGGATTATACAGTACAGCACAGTGTTAATGAAAAGACAATAGGGTTTACCATCAAAGCCTTACCCAGGAGATATACAAGCGAATCTCCATGGGCATTTGTGTCATAGTAGATGAAGCTCCCATTCATTCTGCGGAAAGCTACGCATTTGCAAGTGCAATGCAAGTATCAAGAGTATGACTCCCTTGGGACTTTACAGTCATTATCTGAGTAGGATGTCAAAACAATGAGTGGGCAAGGATCCTAGTAAGTATGCAGTCCCAGTAAGTGATGCAGTCCTGTTGTTTTGTGTGGTTTTCCTTTTAATGGCACTTAGGAAAAATGTTCCATGTATCTCCCAGTTGCTCTTAAGATTCAGAAAAAATCTGCACCTACATTTACTGGATCCCCACATACTGCAGAAGGGAGGACTGCGGAAGCATGTCTGGGTCAGGTCAGGTTCACAGGCCATGTGGAAGGAGCTGTGCATCACGTTATCCTCGGCCCACCAAAGCCAGCTGGCTCCCCACGTCCCCGAGCTGGCTGGTGCTTGCCAGGCTCCCAGAAAGCCACTATAGTGGGGAAGAATGTCTCTGTCCTTCTCCTTTGATAATGCAAAACTTCACAGCTGTTAGAAGCCTCCCTGAGCTGTGCATCCCTGTGGAAAGGAACAGGTTTGCCTGGTGCTATGGCAGCTGGAGTGCCAGGGTATCCAAAACAAAAGGTTTATTGCCTAGCCCAAAGGACCTGAAAATTTCCTATTATGCCCCACTATAATCTGCTTTTGCAACTGACCAGTGAAGGCTCACATGCACATACTCATTTTACTGCAGTCCAGCTCTTTCCTCCCTTCACCCCTGCTGTGTTCACCCCCTTCCCCTTTCTGCATCTGGCTCTGTGCCCGCACTTCTCCTCGCACCAACCAGACCCTCCTGTCTGCCCCATGGCCCTGCTCTCTGCCTGGGGGCTGGCAACCGCTGAAGCCTTCTCCTTCAAGAGGTTTTTTTAAACCACCCCACTACTGCCTCCCCAAACTACTGCATGAAACATTGACTCCTCATATTCAGCCTGTAACATATGTATTCTGTTTTACCCTGTACCACCTGATTCGGGTTGGGTCTTTAGAAAAGTGTCTGCGTGAGCTTCAGCACAAGGTTCTGACCCCTGCACCAAGCCCCCCTATCACAATTTTAATCATCATCAGCAGCATTAAGTCAGCTGAAGCAACACATGGAACAAGATTCTTCTAGTTTTCGAAGACGCCTGTGAACTAAGTGCCTGATGTAGAAAATAAATCTCTTACAAACCACATTTGTGGGAACTGCAAATCAATGTGTGGATAGCTGATCCTCGCGGTTAAAGCACTGGGACCTGGCTCCGTTCTCTGCTTGACGGAGGAGCTCTGTGGAGCCATTGGGAAGTGACTGTTTTCCTGTGCCTCAGTTCCCTATGTGGAAAATGAGGCTTGCTCTCCTCTTTAGCCTTTCTCTCATCTCTTCCACCTGCCTAACTCTGCCGGCGAGTATGTCTAGATATGGCTGAATCAAATGCTGCACTGGGCTTAACTGAGGCCTCCAGGCTGTGTGTCACCGCACCACCAGCAGTAATGACAGATCCTGAAGTCTTACACATCCAGTCCTGATTTCAGAAAGAACCGTCGGCTCAGTCCTTAGAACTTAATTATAGGTATTTTACTATTAGGTATGTTTTTATTATTTGAGACCAAATTCTCTACTTATTTACATTTCTGCATTTTCCTATGACGTCTTAATTTACTGTTAGTTTACAGGTCAAATTCTGCTGTCTGGAGAAATCTGGCATGCAGCGTGTGTCCCAAGTCTCTGGAAGACGAACTTGGCCCGTTTATGTGCCCTGTGCTGTGTCAGTCCAAGTGGAGTGACCAGTATTTTGATAAGTTTTGTGAGTGTTTATGTTATGCTAATTTCTATTTGATGAGCCTGTATACAGGGTGGATACACAACCACAGATGGACAAAACCCAAGATAAGCATACACACCAGAAATCATTATTAGATTCCAGATAGAGTAAACTATCCAAAGTCCTGAACAGAAAATAAAAATTTATTGACTGTTAATGTGATTCATGGAACAGCTGTTTGCCAGTCACATTTGGCATTC